ACAGACATCTTTCTTAGTTTAACGGTTTAAAATTACTCAAATTGTAACTTCTCCATTACAACAAAAGAGAAAAATATAGTTCACCATATGTGTTGTACAAGAGTTATGCTCTATCCCTGTGAACTAGATTAAACTAAAATAAAATTGACATTGTTGATTTAGTTTTAAGTGCTCTGCTAGTGAAGTCATGAAGCATTGTTATGAAGGACCAGAAAAACAAACCAGTAGTGAAACAGTGCTCAATTCAATCTGCTTTCACAAAGTGAAACTGATAGAGAGCAGCAAAATTGCTCTCTTTCACTTTTAAAAACCCCAAACTATTTTAAAATGTGTTGAAGCTTTACTTAAGTGTATTTCAATGACTGAGAAACAACTGATATTCAGGTAGTGAGCTTGCCCTTCCCCTTCCAGCAACCTTTACAAAACTTGCAGTGTAAGTACCCCCAAGGTATAGTTGGCAGTCCTGCCTGTATGCAGCAAAAATAAATGCCAATGATTCTGTAAATAACAAAAAAAAACCCCAACCCCCCCACCCCGACAGCTCTCAAATTTCTGCAGTGCAGCTAGCAACCCTCAGCTCAGCTGCAGCAATCAGAATTCCACAAAACTCTCCAGAGAGGAGAATGGAGTGATGGTTTTTGCTTCAAAGTGCGGGACTTCAAATAAAAAGTGAGATATTCTACAGTTTTTGTCCTTTTTACATTATTTTAAGCATAGTATTGTTTTCTAATATTCAAAAGAAATGCTATTCTAAGCAATAAATTTTCCTTGGAAAGTACTGCAGTAATGCTCTTGAGTATAGATTCTGATTAAACAGTGATGAGCCTTGATGTCAGCAGCCTATTTGCTAGCCACTCTTCAGAGACAAATGGGTTTCATATCTGTGCTTTTCTTTAAAAGCAGTTAGTGATATATGAAAAGATTTGTTTTGTAAATGTCTAAGGTAATAGATTTCATCTTTATAGCGTACAGAGAAAGGAAGCATGAAGCAGTAACTTGCACAGCTGCCTAGAGAAGAACCACATTATTTTCCAGGATCATCATTTATCAGGTGAAACAGGAGTATTTCTGTGAGACTTGTCTCAATAGCAGTACAGAATGTATATAAATATATACATATGCACATATCTCCAGCGTGTGCAGTTTTAATGAGTTTCTACCTGCCAACAAAAGTTCTGTAGACTCCCTCGTCCCCTTGCTAAACCTTTATTTCCACTTGTTAAAATCTTACCATTGAATCAGTATGCTCTATCTCAATCCACTCTATAAAGAATCATATGGTAATAATCTTTTTATTGTTGCTTTTAGTAAGAAAACTGATCAATAATCATCAGTAATCACCATTTGTTTTTATCTAAGAATTTATGTATGCACGGCCTCTGAAAGAGCAACTTCAGCCATAATATGCATGAACTCACAATAATTTGTAGGTATCTGCAGATAGAAACAACAAAATCTGAGGAATAGAATAATTTGGAAAATTATTTATGCTTAATAAACATGTGTTTGGATAGTGGTAACTTTTACTAGGACACATCTATTATCAGCTGTGAAGTCTTAAAAGGAAGACTAAAGGAAGACTAACACTGAAAAATGTATAAAACTTTAAACTGTGCAAGCCAAAGAAGATACATTTTTCTTTAATAAACCCCTCTTAGATATTCATTGCTATTTTTCCTTAGAAGAGCTTTGCTAGCTGTCTCAAAAAGAAACTGTCCTTTGAGCATAAAACCGGTAGAGACCAATTAAAACACAGAACATTCTCCAGTAACATACGTTGGACAGCCAGAACCAAAATCTTTTTAGTGCCACTTAGGAAGTCACACCATTCTGGAAATTGCATACTCTCTTTGATCTTTTTACAGATAAAGGGGCAGAAAACCTAGAAGAATAAGAATTTATTTGAAAAAATGCTCTTTATATCCAGTAATAAAATATGCAAATATATTAAATCTTTCTCTATCCCATGTTTAAGTTATCTGAAACAACTCTCCATGTATTTCTTTATATTTTAAGTCAATTTTAATTAGATGTGTGACTTCTCATAAAATCAAGAGACTTCTCAAAACTTCAATCAAATATTTGAAGATAAATTTCACAGAAATTCAAAAATTAAACTTGCATAAGTTACTGTTTCTTTCAAAGAAAATTAAACACCTAAGTTACTTAGAATAATTAAAAAAAAATCTTATCATAATCTGATATTGTACATAGTGTGTAAATTATTTGGCAGAGTCCTGCGCTAAGGTGGTAAGAATCAGAAACATTGTTTAGAGCATCCTCCATACTATGTTTGGACAAAAAAAAGGAAAATTTTTTTTTTTCTTTTTTCCTAAGTAGGTTTTTTTTCCAATGAGGTATTTAAGTCTGTAGCACGGCTCTGATGTCCGTTTCTTTGCAATATCTTTTCACAGTAAGCTTTCTTGTATCAGAAGCATAATGATCCCTTCCCCCTCCCCCCAACCAGGGAAAAGCTTCAGTTATTCTGTCCTTAAAGAGTACATTTATGCCACATCATTGCTACCTTTAAAAGGTTGCTTGTCCTCAGGAGAACATGTCAGCTGCATTAACCTGGCAGTGGGTTCTTCCAAATGTATTTTTAATCCTCAGGAAGAGCTGATAATGATGCTTGATAGATAGAAAAATCAGAAGTTTTCACAAACATTTAAATTTAGCTATCGCTGAAATTACTTGTCAGCCTGTGAACGTATCTTGAAGAAGCAAAGAATTTTAGGTTTCTTTCTAGGTTCACAGAAGTTTGTGCTGGCGGAAGAAGAAGAGAAGAAACTGAAAGCTGCTCACAAAAGTACAAAGAAAAAACCCAACAACTTAGTGGGATAAAACTGGGCATCCTAGTGCACTACTTCAACTGCTCCACATGCACTTTAGAACTCTTAAGAATATCTTGTGCTTTGACCTATTAAAAAAAAATTTTAAAAATGCCAAGATATGATGTAAAAAGCACCAATATCTGCCAGATACGCCAGAAAGCAGAGAATGTGCCTCATACAGTCAAAAAGGCGAAAAACAGCAGAAATGCCATGAAAGCCTTAAAATGCCAATATGCATATTGAAAAAGCAGAAAATCACCTATATTCGCCATAAAAACCAAAAAGCCGAGAAAGAGACAAGTAAGGTGAAAAACTCGAAAATCACGAACAAGACCAATAATACAGGAAACAACCAAAAGGCCATTAATGAAAATGTTAATAAGCACTGTAATTTTTTGGTCTTTTGTGTGTTTGATGACATCTTTGGAGTTTTTCATGATTTTCACCTTATTAGGCACTTACTTGGCTTTTTGTACTTTCTGGCTGATATGTTGGCCTGCCAGCAGCATCTTTTTATTCCCGGAGATCACCTTCTCCTCCACCACAGGCTCTCAGGCGCAGCAGAAACATCACTGACAGAAAATCCTTTTCTTGTCAGGGCTGCTCTCCCCAGCCCTGTTTCTCTCTGTATTTCAGTCGGCAGAGTTTGCTCACTCTCTTGGCATGCAATTTCATCTTTATGTTTCCACGTGCCATCCACTTGGTTGTGTCTCTGCTGTGAAACAAAGCCTTTGCACACACAGGGCCTGGAAACTAGGTTTCTTTAAGACAAGTCAGAACTTGGCCTGCAGCCACAGCTGAGGTGTCGCAGCCCAGGTGTGCTCTGATGTCCTCAGCCAGGGGTATAGGCAAGTTGGGAGAGAGTCTGTTCTTTTTGACATCAATGAAGTAACATCCAAGGCATGGTGAGACAAGTCACATGATGATAGAATAAAATACATCTTTGTTGGTCAGCTTGAATCATACTCGAGTCATCTCTCCTGGGTCACCTGTCCCAAAGAGTCCCGGGCTCTCATTTCCTCTCACTTATGCAGAGAGAAAGAAAAAAATCCTAAGAGAAACTGTAACCACAGACACAGGCAAATCTTTGAAAAATGCAAATATCTGCCAGTGAAAAAGAAAACAATAACCTTATCAGCTTCATAAGGAAAAAAAATTCAATCCTAGCCAAAGCTATAACATGAACTTGTGATAATGAAAGCTCAAACACTGCTTTCCCAAAAATCCAGCTGTCTGGAGCAGTAAAAAGGATTCATAGATTCAGTCCCAGCAGAACAAGGACAGCACCACAGGGTGCCACAGGGCCCTGGGAACACACCCCACAGCCCCCGTCCCTCTGAAGGGCACAGAAGCTTTAGGGGGCAGAGAGGGATGAAGCCCAGAAGGGAAGGGGATCCATGAAACCAAAGGAGGTCAGTGGAACCCTGTGTCTCTTTTTTTCTTCTTCATGAGATCTTGAGAGGTCTGCAGTCCCCTCTGTCATTACTGCCTCACTGATGACTAACCCCAGAAAAATGGAGCATCTCCTTTATGAGGAGCGGCTGAGGGAGCTGGGTCTCTTTAGTTTGCAGAAGAGGAAACTGAGGGGAGACCTCATTCATGTTTATAAATATTTAAAGGGTGAGTGTCACGAGGATGGAGCCAGGCTCTTCTCGGTGACAAACAATGATAAGACAAGGGGTAATGGACACAAACTGGAACACAGGAGGTTCCACTGAAATTTGAGAAGAAACTTCTTCTCAGTGAGGGTAACAGAGCCCTGGCCCAGGCTGCCCAGAGAGGTTGTGGAGTCTCCTCTGGAGACATTCAAAACCCGCCTGGACGCCTTCCTGTGTAACCTCATCTGGGTGTTCCTGCTCCGGCAGGGGGATTGGACTGGATGATCTTTTGAGGTCCCTTCCAATCCCTAACGTTCTGTGATTCTGTGATTCTGTGATTTTGTGATTCTGTGAAAGTTAAGTACCTGCAGCTTCAATTATTTTGAGGAAATATACAGTGAAACTGGCTCCTCATTTACACAATTGCAAGGATCAGGTAGACCAGTGAATACTTAAGTAGGAGGAAATAAATAATGACAATCCTATGAAGAAAACATCACCAAAAGCTGAAAAAGAAAACAAATACAAAGAAGGAAAGAAGGGCTTGGGATGTCAAGACATATACTGGGAATTATTTGCAGAGGAAGGCTGGCAGTATAAGGCTGCTGAAAAAAGATCCAGTTATCATTTTCTTCAGAGCATCCTTGAGCTCCTGGTTCCTCATGCTATAGACAAGGGGGTTCAGTGTTGGAGGCACCACTGAGTACAAAACAGCAATCATCAAGTCAAGGGATGAAGAGGCGATGGAGGGTGGCTTCAGGTAGGAAAATGTTGCAGTGCTGAGAAACAGGTGTTGTGAAAACGGGGAAATAAATCCGGTCTTGTGAGGCCAGCACCGAATATGCGAGAGACTCAAATCAGGAAAAAAATAGTAATCGTTTATTTACAGCAACATTTACAGGTTCTTTTGGATTGCCAGTGATAAATTGAAAAGCTACAGGTACACTAAAGGTTGTATAACTAATATCAAAACCAAGAATACACTCAGGGAAACCTAGAAACGAACCTGAGGCGGAAAATATAAAATACACTCAGAGAATATGTGCCTGAGGAAAATTATAAAATACACTCAGGGAATATGAACCTGAGGCAAAATATAAAAATATATCACTCAATGTTAGCTGAGGTAAATAATCTTATCCACAAGGTGACCTGAGTGGTGGGGATGGAGAGGGAGCGAATTCGTCAATCCATCCAGTCATCGATATGGTTCAGAGTCCCCATTCTTGGGCTGAAATTGGGGTGATACTTATACTCAAACTTTTACATTACACCACCAGGGCATACGTGTGGGTGGGGATGACTATAGACAATCTTATTGCTTATGTTAATGTCACAAAGTCCATTAATTCACACCTGCATGGGTAGAGGTAATGGCTCCTTTTGTCTGGGGCAGAAAGGAATAGAGGACTGGGACCACGAGGCCTCCGCCTCATCTCACACTTCTCCAGGCATCTGGATAACACCAGATGTTGATCTAACGATGGTTGCCACCTCGCCCAGTGTCTACCACCTCACCCAATGTTTGATTTCATGCTTCCAGGCATGCAGCTACCTGGTGTACATGACTTGGACTTTGCGATTAACTTTGTTCTCTCTACAACAGGGAAACCACAGACAGGTGAGGGAGGCACATGGAAAAGGTTTTGTGCTATCCCTGCTCAGAGGGGATCCTCGGCACAGCCCTGAAGATCTGCACATAGGAAAAAAGAATGAATATAAAACACACAAATGCTACACAGACACTGACCACAAGAAGCCAGACTTCCCTGAGGTAGAAGTCTGAGCAGGAGAGCTTGAGGATCTGGGGGATTTCACAGAAGAACTGGTCCAAGACATTGCCTTGGCAGAGGAATAGTGAAAATGTATTTGCCATGTGCAGCACAGCATAGGGAAAAACACTGCCCCAGGCAGCTGCTGCCATGTGGACACAAGCTCTGCTGCCCAGGAGAGTCTCATAGTGCAGGGGTTTGCAGATGGCAGCATAGCGATCATAGGCCATGACAGTGAGAAGGCAGTATTCTGCAGATATCAGAAAGAAAAAGAAAAACAGCTGGGCAGCACATCCCAAGTAGGAGATTACCTTGTTGTCCCAGAGGAAATTGGCCATGGCTTTTGGGAGAGTGGTGGAAATGGAGGCCAGGACAAGGAGGGAGAGGTTGAGGAGGAAGTAGTACATGAGGGTGTGGAGGTGGTTGTCACAGGCTGTGGCAGTGATGAGGCTGTTTCCCAGGAGGGCAGCCAGGTAAATGGCTGGAAAGAGCCAGAAGTGCAAGAGCTGCAGCTCCCATGTGTCTGTGAATGCCAAGAGGAGCAACTGAGTGATGGAGCTGACATTGCACATTTGCAGCTGCCTCTGGACATTGGGACATGTCTATGGAAGAAGAAAGAGTTAGATGTTAGGGCAGGTATCTCAGAGAAAAAAATATATCCAGTTGACCCTAGATTCCCACCAAAGTAGCTCTTATCTTTCAGGACAGCCTTTGACAAGTCTTTTTTGTGCACTCTAGTTGGTGCTGGCTGATGGTCAAACATGAAGCAGGAGGCTCTGCTTTGGGCTCTGCAGGAGTCAGTCCTACCCTAAAGCAGACCCTAAATAAGAACAGGTGGTGATCTCAGATTAAATCTAGCTGTGATATCAAAGAGTTTTTCAGTCTGTCCATCCATCCCAATTTACCTGACTGCAGAGCAGAGCTGAGGTAATCTAGCCACAAAAAGAGAGGTTTTCCTCCCCCTCTACTCTGCCCTGGTGAGACCACATCTGCAATATTGTGTTCAGTTCTGGGCCCCTCAGTTCAAGAAGGTCAGGGAATTGCTTGAAAGAGTCCAATGCAGAGCCACAAAGATGATGGAGGGAGTGGAGCATCTCCCTTATGAGGAGCAGCTGAGGGAGCTGGGGCTCTTTAGCTTGGAGAAGAGGAGACTGAGGGGAGAGCTCATTAATGTTTATAAACTTGTAAAGGGTGAGTGTCAGGAGGAAGGAGCCAGGCTCTTCTCTGTGATAGCCAATGATAGGACAAAGGGAAATGGGTGCAAGCTGGAGCATAGGAAGTTCCATGTGAACATGAGGAAAAGCTTTTTTACTGTAAGGGTGCCAGAGCACTGGCCCAGACTGCCCAGAGTTGTTGTGGAGTCTCCTTCTCTGGAGACATTCAAAACCCTCCTGGATGTGTTCCTGTGAATCTAGGTGATCCAGCTCTGGCAAGGAGCTTGGACGATGATCTTTTGAGGTCCCTTCCAACTCCTAATATTGTGTGATTCTGTGATTCTGTGATTCTCAGTGCCTGGAGGCAGTGCCCTCAGCCCTCCTTCTGGGCAGAGGTGTCTCTCGGCAGTGCTGCCTACTTTCTATGAGCTCCCTCCATTCCTGGAGCCCAGCCCAGCTCAGCAGCAGAGGACCAGTCCAAGGCAGCACTGTCTCTGTTCTCTTCCAACCCTTAAAGATGTCCATGGGTCCCCAGGGGAACCCGCCATGAAAGAGTCTGGAGCAATCATCGATATTTTCTTTCCTCATCTAGAGAGAGATTCCTGTTTCTAGCACTGTCATTTCACCAATCAGAGACAGAGTTAGGTCCTGTAATTCATCTTTCTTGTCCCATTATTAAGGAGGTGTCGTGGTTTAGGCTCAGTGCATAACTGAGCACCACGATGCCCCAGAAAGGGCTAGTCAAAATAAGGACTGGGAGGGCTTCTTGCCACTTAAACAGGTCACAGGCAAAAGACAGACTCATCATAAGGAATAAAAACCAAAACAATTTTAATTTGTTACTAACATCAGGGCAGAACAATGGGAGATACAACCAGATCTTAAAGTCAAAATACCTTCCCTCCACCCTTCCCTTCTTCCCAGGCTCAGCTTTTGTTCCCGGTTTCTTCACTTTCCCCCTCCCCTTTTGTCTTGAGGCTCAGGGGGATGGGAGTGGGGTTTGCAGTCGGTTTCACACCATGTGCTCCTCAGGAGTAGGAAGACTCAGCCCAGTCTCTCTCTCTGCTTCCACGTGGTCCCCCCTTTTCATAGGGAAGAAAGTCCTAAAAGTCCAATATGAGTCCGCCTACAGCTGCAGTTTCCCTCACACAAGAACTGCTCCAGCAAGCACTGCCCGGAGTCACGGCTTCTTCAGGAGGAGCCACTGCTCAGTTGGCCCTGCCCCACCAGTGAACTCTACGGACTGCAGGCAGTCAACCTGGCTCTTGCCATGGGTTGCAAAAGGGGAACCTGGGCTCTGCGTCTTCCTCATCCTCCCTCTCCTTTCTTTCCTTCAACTGACTTTGGTGTTCTTCAAAATTGTTCTTCTCGGGCCCCACTCCTTTCTCTGCTGCAGGTCTCTTCTGATGGTTCCGGAGTTCCTGGCTCTCTCTCCCTTTCGGGATGAAGCTGCAGCGGGGCTTAAGCTTAAGTTGTGGTCGGGGCTGTCCAAACCCAGCCGGGCAAGGCCAAGGCCGTGCCACCCGCACCTGGGGCCGCGCTGGTCAGGGCCGGTGCCAGAGAGAGCGAGGCATGCCCTGCATCCCCCCTAAGTACATGAATTTGCAGGGGCACTGATCGGCTTGGCCCTGGTCAGAGGTGGGTCTGACAAAGGAAAAGGGGGAGCTTTTCAGGTAACTTCTTAAAGGGCTATCTCCACAGCCCTTCCCCCATTACCAAAAACACAAACCAAAAAAGCCCTCACAGAAAACCCAATACAGGAGGACACCCCAACAGTGCAAGGGTGAGATCTTCTTTACCCCTGCTGCTGAGGGAAGTGGTGCAGCTGAATCAATTCAGGCATCTTATCCTGAGTTTGTGTTTGGGCTGGAAAGTGACTCAACTCCTCCTTATGCCTGACAAAAACTCACAGGAGGTGGCATTTCTCAGCTGTGCACAGAACCTGCATGTGAGCTCCTTGTCTCAGCTCCCATGGCAATTACTGGAAATGAAAGGCATGAGTGAGGTGTTCAGGCCCAAAAACTTTATGACATTTATGACTTTATGACCACAAGTGGTGGTCAAAGATATGCGCAGATAACTTCAAAGACAAATGGAGTAGTTCATAGAGAGAAGGCAACATTTTAGGATATCCTATTGAAGGCTGTTGGGGATTTCTCTGCGTCAACTGAAATGACAGCTGATACCCCCAAACAGCAGTCACAAGCTGAACAGCAGAGAAAATGCAACAAGGGACGGTTAAGCATCAGAAACTGAGATGGGCCACTATCATGAAGGAGAAGGGAAGGGATCAAAGGGGGCAAAGAACCGAATGGCTGAAAGAAATAGAAAGGATTGAAGGTTTGTCCCCTGCTAACTCCCAAATTTATAGTGAGTGTAACATTTATGAGCTGGAATACATCTTTACTGGTCACATTGGATCACATCTTGATCATCTGTCCCAGGTCACCACTTGCAGAAAATCTCAGGTTTTTGCTCCCTTCCCCTTTCCTCTTGAGTAGAGAGAAGAAAAAAACAAACAAACAAACAAAACAAAACAAAATAAAACCACCAAAGAAACCCTAAACCAAACCAAACGAAACAAAAAAAATCAAAACAAATAAAACCCGAATAAAAAAAAAAAAAAAACAAAAAAAACCCGCAAAACCCTCCCCCCCAAAAAATCCCAAAAGAAACCATGAGGTTTCTTTCAACTTATTGGTATCTCTCCTTCTGGGGAGAGATTTATTAGAACATTTGGGTGCAATAGTTAAGTTTGAAAAGGGAGAGATTACTCTTGAGGTAAATGACCAGAAATATATACAAATAATGGGTTTATCCCTAGCCAGTGTTCCCACAGGAGGGAAAATCAGTGAAGAAATCATAAACCAGGTATATCCTGCGGTATGGGCCACCGATGTGCTGGGGAAAGCAAAGAATGCTCCACCTGTCGAGGTCAAACTCAAAGAAGGGTGACAACCGGTAAGAATTAAACAGTATCCTCTGAAGAGGGAAGACAGGGAAGGAATTCGGCCAGTAATAGAAAAATTTTTACAACTGGGATTACTAAAGAAATGTGAGTCTGATTTTAACACTTCCATATTACCCGTCCGGAAACCCGATGCGTCATATCGAGTGGTCCAGGCCCTATGGGCTATAAATAAAATAACTGAAGACCTCTACTCGGTGGTGGCGAATCCATACACCTTATTGACTGTATTGACGCCTGAAATAACCTGGTTCACTGTTTTAGATTTGAAGGATGGCTTCTTTTGCCTCTCCCTCCATGAAGCCAGCCAGAAAATATTTGCATTTGAATGGGAAAATCCCAAAAGTGGGCATAAAACTCAGCTTACTTGAACGGTGTTGCCACAAGGGTTCAAAAACAGCCCTACTATATCCGGTAACCAACTCGCAAAAGATATTGGGTTCTGGGAAGCCCCGCCAGAATAAGGGAAACTGTTACAATATGTGGATGATATCCTGATTGCCACCAAGACAAAGGACACTTGTATAACTTGGACAGTGAGTCTGTTAAAATTTTGGGGACTCCAGGGATAATGGGTATCTGTCACAGAATTGCACCAAAATGGCTACACACACACAAATAATGAACTCAAACAAGCTTTTAATCTGCAACTGAAATTAAGCAGACAAAACTTCATTCACCAAAACAACATTCCACTGACATTTAACAAATACAGGTTCGATATGCTGGTTGGGAATATTACCAGACACAGCTGAGTTAAGAATTTTTAAAGTTTTGGCCAAACAATCCAAAATGTGCACTCTCTCACTCACCAAAAAGGGAAGGCTCTCAATCTCGAGAAGTTACCTTAAGTGGTGTCCCAACATAACAGGAGAGTCCCCGACTGCAGACCTGCTGCTCCGAGGAGGACCGACTCCAATGAGTCCTCCGACGAGGCCCCATTTATACCCTGGTCGAATCTGCTCTGTGGTCAATACACGGTCGTGTCAGCCCCTGTTGGCTGAGGACCCCAACTTTCCCACCTTTGACCCCCACTGTGTGGATCAGACATGAGCTGTGAGGGGGAGGCAGACCTGGTGCCACCAGGACCAGAAATTTTAGCACTGCTTTGTTGGGTCTTTCTCAGGTCTTTAGTAGGGTGGGTGCATCTGCCACAGTATCTAAGAAAAAAGCCCAAGTAATCCAGTGTGAAGTGATTTATCTGGGCTGCGAAATCAGTGCTGGACAAAGGACATTGGGGCAGGCCCAAAAAGAGGCAATATGCCAAACCCAGAGACCGCAAACAGCGAAATTTTTACAAATTTTCCTGAGGATGACTGGGTGATGCAGACTATGGATCTATACCTATGGACTGCTTGTTAAACCCCTGTACGTACTAGAAAATACTGAACAGAAACACCTTCAATGGAATAAAGAAGCCATACAGGCCTTCAAATTACTGAAAAAGACC